TATGGATCCCGTCGCCGAAGATTACCGGGAGGGTTATTACCCCCTCGGAATCAATAGTATCGCCGGTGAAGCCGGCAAGAGGGGTCTTAATGGACCGAAGGGACCCCCTTTCCAGGTGCAGCTCTCTAAAGGTGCTGAGGTACATTACATTGACGGAGCTGCCCGTGTCAATGTAAGTTCGGTGAATGATGGTGTCGTTTATCTCAGTCTGAATCACCAAGGCATCCCTGTGAGGAGAAGAAGTAGGAGGGAGATCTGCGTTGGTGAAGGTGATGGGTTCCTCCCTCAGTCGCTTTACCGGGGGCATATGAGTGACTTCCCCTACGTAAAGCGATTGAGCCCACTTTTTCCGCTGGCTGGTGGAGTCACCCCCTGTATTGCCACCGGTGATCATGAGGATGTGGCGTTTTTTCTCCTGGTAGTGGGGGTACTCCTCCTCTTCCTCCTCCAAGTTTCCGATCTCCCTCTTCTTGCCGAGGGGGATGGTGTTCGGGTTCACCCAAGCGTTCACCTTCGTGTGGTGCCCTCGTGGAGGTCCCTGATGAGAAGGCCCCTCCTGCCGAGGGCTCTGGATAAATTGGGACAGGTGCCCCGCTTGTATCAATCTCTCGATGGCCGTCTTTAGTTGATGGCAGTCATTGGTTCTGTGCCCCTGGTGCCGATGGAAACGACAGTAGGGGAACTGAGGGTTGATAGCATGTACCTCCGGGGGCGCGCGAGAATCGCGCTCAACGAGGCCCCTCTCCTCGGCAAAATCAATGATGATGTTGACGGGGTGCGTCAATGGTGTCCGGGGGCGGTCCAGGAGAATGGGTTGTGCCCAAGTCTTAGGGCTGCTCTTATAACCTCCCCCGGGCTTGGCTTGGCCTTGCCGAGGGCGGTCATCAGAGGGTCCTGGAGCCTTGGGGTGATTTGGAGGAGCCCCCGGCCCCCGGTTATTCTTGTTGTCAGCCCTCGGGGGTTGCTGATCTGGATGCTGGTGGTATTTCTCCACCTCCTCGGCCTCAGCGTATCGGTCCCCCCGATGCAGGGCCCTCATGTAGTCGCGGGGGGGTTCAATGATGAGGCTCCTTGAAAAGTTACCTGTGCGGAGGACGGTTTGTAGGAGGGCCAGGAGGGTCCCGTCGTCAGCACCTTCGACTTTGTCGGCTTCCGTTCTCCAGCGTTCCAGGAAGTCCCGAAGGGTCTCATCCCTCCTCTGGCGTATGGTTAGGAGGTGGGAGAAGTGCTTCCTCGTGCGACGCCTCCCGACAAACTGTGTCAAGAATCGCTGGGCGAGTTCTTGCCATGAATCAATGCAGCCCTCGGGCAACCGGTCGAACCATTCGTATGTCGGCCCCTCTAAGGTGGAGAGGAACCAACGACACAAATATTCGTCTGACGCCCCTACCATCATCATGCTGTTCTGGTATTTGTTGTAGTGTTCCTGGGGGTCCGTCTTCCCGTTGTAGGGCTGTATGTGTTGCCATCGGTATTTTTCCGGGATCCGGGCCGCCAGTACCCTTGGGGTAAATGGCGTCCGGGTCCGGAGCTGGATGACAGGTTCCCTGGAGCCCTCGGCTACCTTCTTCTGTAATTCCTCCATTTTGGCCATCATGGCCTCGTATTTGAGGTCTGAATGAGGGGTGGAGGTGGTGGCGTGAGCTTTGTTGGCCTCCATTTCATCAAGCCGGCGTTGGAGGGCCGCAATAATTTCGTCCCGGGGATCCTTCGGGAGGGTCTCCGCCCCCTGCGAACGAACCCGGGCCGAGTGGGCCTGGTTGATTTGGTGGCGAGCATCGTCGGCATGAAGGGGTGCCTTGCCTTTATCCCGAGGGGGACGCTCCTCGTCTACCCTCGAGACAGACCCTCCGCTTTCCTGGGGCCTTTGGAGTGCTTTCCCTCTGAGGCGGTCATGGACCCCTCGGCGGTCTTGCCCTCCTCCGAGCCGGTTGAGGGCGGAAGTGCGGGGCCTTTCTCTGTTGTCGTTGTGGCGGTCCCGGGATTGAACTTCCTGGGAAGCCGTATCTTGGGCCACTACCCCTTCGTCATTCCTAACCCGAGGGGTGGGGTTTCCGAAGGGGTGTGGCAGAGGGGGAAGTATGATGTTCTCCCCAACCTGGGGTTGAGCCGAAGCCAGGGTGCCGAAGGCACCTGGGTTCTGAGTGAGCGTCTGGATGAAGGCGGAGAGCGCCGAATGAACGTCGATGGTGAGAACCGGAGGGCTGATTTGGTCATCGCTCCGGTTCTTCTTCTTGGCCTCGATGCCGTGGCGGGCATCGGGGGCATTCTGCTGGATTTGAAGGCGTAGGTCGACAGCTGCCTATTCCAGCCCAGCGATGACACCGCCCTCGGGAGCCCTGTGAGAGGCTTCGGGGGCGTTGACGTCGCCGAGGGCCAGGTTCTTGTCTTCTACGTTTTTGGAGTTGGCACGTGTTGTTCTCACCATTTTGGTAGAGGGCTAGTGTTTGGCGAAGGGGGAGGGTTTCTTACTCGATTGTTCGACCTCTCAACGAGAGCACCAAATGATAGATAGTGTACCCGGGGGGTAGCTTATCCGAGGGGTTATTGCGGGGAATAACAAGAGAGAAGTCAGAGCAAGTAAGTAGAGAGAGAAAGTGTATTATAAGTGTGGAGCGTTTTCAGCGTGGTTACAAATGGGGAAATGGGGTGCTATTTATAGTAGCAATAAATGCCGGACAGGGACACGTGTCAAGCGCCCATTGGCCGAGAGGTCACCTCAACTGGTTGGCGCTGGCAGCCGCATGTGGCCGCATTTAATGCAGCTGTTGGACGGGACGTTGTACAGGGTACGGTGATCTGTACGCATGTGGCGCGGATATTATGTCGGGAGAGGTGCTCTCGGCTGCGGAGGACTAGCCGAGGGCTCTGAGTGCCGGGGACCCCTGGGTGCCGAGGGCTCCAGGTGCCGAGGGCTACTGTTTTCTGCCGTTTTTCCCAGTTTCTTATTTTGCTTGAGAAACCCGTTCTTAGTTTCCCCAGTGTGCGCTTTGGGCTTCTAAGTGCTTGGGGTGCCGTAATTTGGGGCCTACTGTGCTTCCTGGGCCGGTTGGGCCTTTATTGATGTAGTAGGAGTCTGTGGGCCGGGGGTTCCCGGGCCATATACTCCATCAATTAGGTTGCATACATCCGGATGGGTCTTACCCCACCGTATGTGGGAGCCTTTGCGGCACTAATCTCTTTTTTTTTCAACAAGTGCAGACGTGCAGTATACCAAATTATAAGCTTTCACTATACTCTCAACGAACTCAAGAAAATGTTAGATACTAAAGAAAACTCATTAATCTAAGTTTTGTGTATTAGTAATAGTAGCTTTTTCAGAAGAATTTTATGGTACTTTTTAAAGAAACATCTTCTCTTAAGATGTCTCTTCTCTTAGTGGTGTAGTGCCATGTTGTGCATAAAATTCATTATATAGATCGTGCAATGAGATTTTACATCAATCACTGAATCATCCATCATACATAGCAAAATCACCATAGAAACAATTAAAATAAAATTCCAAAATGGTCTCATAACTAGCAAAGTTAAAGCGAGGACCTAAGAGCATCTACAATGGTATACGGTTAACATGCTAAAAAAATTGACACGTGGCAATTAATATATGGATCTGTCAACCACATCACGCTTGAGTCATTAACTAGACATTGAGATCCCGGAATTCCTGTGCAATGCTCGATGTCTAACAGCCCATATTTCACCAACGTGTAAAATAACCCCAAAAACATTCCTGATGCACCGGCTTCTTTGTAAAATACAAAGAAAGAGAATAAAATCAAAGCATACACATTGAGCATCTTACTGAAGCGTAAAAAACACATCCATTTATTATTTATACAGCAGAAGATTGCTCAATCGGGTATTCCAGAAACTTAACAAATCAGTCTAATTTATAAACAGATCTGGAAGCACAGGGAAGGAATACAATAATCGCATCAAACATGTATTTGAACTAAATCCTTTGAACTAATAAAAGGAAATCTACAGAAATGGAAGGAATCTATAAACCTAGCAACAATTAAATCAAATGAAAAAGATAAATTACAGGGCCCAACTCAAGCTCTATTCCCTGATTTATTAGGTATGTTACTGCTATGGAAAAAATATTTTTAAGAACATCTCAGAACTGTTGATATTTCCAGATTGGCTACTTCACAAGTCCATGAATTAGTCAATTTTGGCATAAAAGACTCATAATATGTAAACAGCTTCGCTGAAATTGGGCAAAAGAGGTGCAGACAGAGAGAGCACGTAGCTTGAAATCTATTTAATAGAAGAAGAGGTAAGTTTAAAGTGGGAAATCTGTGGAAATGGAAAAAATTTATGTACTTACCACAAATCAAATCCTTTGAAGAGAGCTGTGCTGCCTTGAACATTCCTCCATGTACGAAGCTTCACTTTGGGGAGAAAAGAAATGAGGTGGGAGTGGGAGTGTGGGGCACTGGGATAGATAATTTGGGAGGTGGGAGGGAGAATTTTTTACGCGGGAATTTTTTTTAGGTCGGCGGGATAATTTTATGCACCCAAAATAGCTGACTCAGCATGTGAACGCGGTGTTAAATCAAGACATTGATGTAAACAGTTTCAAAAATATTTTTTGACAAGTCAGCATTACAAGAAGGTTACATTGATGCGTTGGAGAAGAGATTTTTACACCAATGTTAAAGTGAATGACGTAGCCATAATTTTTACTGTCAACATCTTCGGACTGGAGATGCTCTAAAAGTAAAACTAATAGCATAAATAGTAAGCATAATTGCATTTTAAAATATTTTAAAAATTTTAAAAAAAAAAATAAAAAAAAAATAAATCGGAAACATGATGTACACCTATGGAAAACATGTAATAACGTGAGGACTAGATTGAGTTGCAGTGTGGAAAAATATTCTTCAAGAATAATTCGTAAGTTGAGGATTGAGTTAAGTTTGAACATATTCTTTTACTATAATAGTACCAGACTACCAGGAAGTGAGTCTCCGTGGCTTTAGAATCATAAATCAGACCACCTCACAAGTCACAAAACTCCTCCCTGTATTAGAAAACCAATACACAACCTCTCACATTGTCCATTAAATATAAAGTAGATCAAATTATGGAAGCATCAGACAACAATGTGCCTACATAACTTGTAAAACTCCAACCTACTGATAAACTTACTGCTTGTTTCACCTAGCTGGAGAAAATTAAAAATATGTGACTTTAGGTTAACTAAGTCTCAATTGCAAAACTTCATGTACAGAATAGAGAAGCTTCAATAACCAACGCGCAAAAGAAACCTTAGTGAGCCCTAGAACGTTTATTGCCTTGTTGCACCAGATCCATATACGACTGCAAACTAACACCAACGTCTTCATCATACTCAATCCCGAGTTCCTCCTGAAAATACTGGAATTAGTGAAACAATAAAATATAGAAACTATGTATGTATGTCGAACATTGAATACCTTAAATTCTTTGAGGTCCTTTGGCGAATTCTCGGTAATAGTATCCCACAGATCTTTGAACATTCTCTTACGCTTTCTCCACTGATTTATTGTTTCAGCACACAATTCCTCCACTGCTTTCCTCTCTTCTGGACTTACTAGGGTGACTCCTCCCCGCAAATTAATCAATTTTCTTTCCATCTCTTCAGTCTGAAAATGACCAGAAATATACACATATTATATAAAAACATAAAAACATCTTTAGCTGGCAAAAAAAACATAGCTTTCTTTGTCTAACCTCGTTTCTTATTGTGGCTTCCCTATCACGTATTTCTTCCAGTGTCAAATTTGATTGCAAAGTTTTAATTTCTGCAACAGCAGCACTAAGTCATTACAAACAAAAGAAAACATAGAACCAAGTTTTTTTAAGAATTGGACCAATCAATTGAATTTCACATTTGTATTTATATGATAGAAATGTGGCCATAAACAGAGTTTTAGCAATTATTTCAAATTGTTGTGTTGAGTTACAAGCAGATGTTTACCCCACATTATCTTTCTTTCATAATTCCCTCCTATTTTCATCATTTTCTTTCCCTAGCATAGTTCCAGACAGACCCCTAAAAGTAGTTATCTGGATTTGACTTCTTTATGCAACAAAATTGAAGGTTTGAAGAGTCTACCTCCTTCGACCTCGCTGATAGCTCTCCTTTGTTCATCGACCATCTCCTGCAGCTTGGCATTTTCTTCTTTCATTCGAATAAGCTCATCATTGTCTGGAATGTCAAATTGATCTTGCCGAGCAAGATATATCTTTTGCTTCCCATACTCCTTGAATGTTATCTTTCCGCTTTCAGCAAGGCTGTCTAGTGCCTTTTGTACTGCAGCTTTCTTGAGGTTAAACTTTTGGAGACAGTCAGCCACATTTTGAACGTTCAAAGGTTTATTTTGCTGGAGCAAACCAAAAAACAGGTAAAAAGATTCAGGGAAACGCAAAAACCTCAAGAGAGAACAGTTGATGAAAGTAGTGGCAGTCTAGCACCCAAAAAATGAAAAATGTACGCAATTTGAATGGTGAAATATTTATAAAGGATCTGCGTCTAGTACATCCATAGAATGAAAGATAACTTAAACCTTAACAACCCAAATTTTACTTTCTTATTTCACACATAGCTCAAACCTTGCGATGTCCAATGGGACGGTGTAGTATTTAAAAGGTCTTCGGGAATTTCTCGGTGAAACATTTAACCAAACACACAACACACCAATCCAACATCAGCTAACGAGATGAAAGCCAGCAGAATATGAATGTTACCTCGTTAACGAAGTTAAGCACAATTCCTGAAAATCACATGCCAAAGACAATTAAAATTTCGTAAATGGTGTAGTAGATCTGACAGCCAGTTCAATATATGAAATTCAAAATTTCTGATATTTGTAGTGTCTAAACCGGACCGATTGTACATACACGCAATAGAAGAATACATACACGCATGTGTATAGAGAGAGAGGTGGATTACCTTCAGCGCTATCCGATTTGGGAGGCATTGCTGGAAAGGTTCAGAGGAAACAAGCTGAAGCAATAGAGCGCGGGAAAACTTTAGACAATTCCCCACGTACCGTGTGAGATCTTTCAAAATATGGACTGTGCAACGGTGGAGTTGTTTTAGAGTTTTTTTTCACAATAATGCTAAATAAAAAAATGTTTACAAAATTAAGTTCGGGTTAAGAGCCCGTTTGTTGAGCCTGTTTTTCGGCTTATCATTCTTCTCAGTCAACTTTTTTACTAAACACGTAATTTTTGATTTCACGCGTTGAATTGTGTAATAATAAGAAAATGTAAGATTGGAGTTACTTTTCTGGCTGTATTGGCTGAAGTTACTATAAAGAATCATTTTAACTATTTTTAATATAATTTTTTCTTTATTTTATTAATAAAAATATATTTTATATACTTCCTCCGTCCCTAATAACTTTGCCAAGTTTGACCAGCACGGGGATTAATAAAGTAAAAACTGTGTGATTGAGGTGTGTGCAGAGGAAAGAAAATTAACTAAAACCACAAATTCTTTACTTAAAAGGGAAAGCGACAAAGTTTATGAGACATCCAAAAAAGGAAAGTTGGCAAAGTTATAAGGGATGGAGGGAGTATAATTTTTCATAAATCAGCAGAATCGACCAATACAGTCACTTCAGTCAAAACTTCATAAATATCAACAGAAACAGTCGATTCAGCCGATTTAGTGTTACCAAACGGACTTTAAAACTATTTATCAAAGCACTGTTGGAATAAACTATGATTAGAGAAAGCCGTCAAACTATATGGTGACTCTAAATAATGTGGAGAAAGTGCACAAGTGAAGCAAGCTTCGCTTCGAAAGGGACACGTATGGAAAGGGGTGGGGCCAATGTAGAAGCTAGAAAACCTCTTTTTCTTTAAATGGTTATAACTTTCATATTTTTGCTCCAATTTTTTTAAAAAAATATCTCAATTTTTATAACTTTTTGTGATATTTCATATGACACCAATATGGAATATATATAAAGTTTAAAAAAAATCTGAGACCATATGTGGTGAAAAACTAATTGCAATTGTCCACCATCAATAAACTTAATTCTCAACCAATTTAAACCAAAATTCTGTATTCACCTTGTTAATTCAATTTTTCAATATATTCACCCAACATAGTTTTTAGTTAAATTCTTACACTTTTTAATCTACATCAAATTTTAAACAAAACTTTTTACGAAAATCTAAGGATTCAATCACATAGAGTTCTTTACGCTCAATTTTTAAGCTCAAAATGTAAAACATTTCAATGTAAAAAAACTCTTGAATTGATTTTTACATAAAATAAAATAAACTCAAGTTTGACATTTTGATTTAAAAGTTGAACGTTTCAATGAAATAAAAATTTGAAATTTATTTTTTATTGCTTCAAGTATTTTCTCGAAAAATAACTGAAACGTGTATAAAATAATGATGAGATTTTAATTTTAACCCTCGAATCTGCTTATGAAAACATTTGAGCTTACAAAACTCAAGACAATCTAATCTTGTGAAAAGTTTTTGGCTAAAAGTTGATGTAGATTAAAAAGTGTAAGAATTTAACTATAAACTATATTAGGTAAATATATTGACGGTATTAGTAAGAAAAAAACTGAATTTACAGGGTGAATAAAGAATTTTGATTTAAACGGGTTGAGAATTAGGTATATCGACGGTGTGTAGTTACAATTAGTTTTTTCCACCCCATATGGTCTTCAGAATTTTTTTAAACTTTATATATTTCATATTGGTGTCATATGAAAGATCACAAAAAGTTATAAAATTTGATATATTTTTTAAAAACATTGGAGCAAAAATATACTCATTTAAAGAAAAAAGAGAATTTCTTCTACATTGGCCCCACCTCTTCACATACGTGTTAGTCTCCGAGCGAAGCTTGCTTCGCTTGTACATCCCACTTCCTCCGCATTATTTAGAGAGTCGCCAAATGGTTTGGCGGCTTTCTAACCATAATTTATTCCAGCAGTATTTTGGTAAATAGTTTTAACTCGACCCTACTTTCATAAATAATTTTTTATTTGGCAATATTTTGGAAAAAAACTCATTGTTTTATGGAGTAAAACATCTAATTCAAAAAATGATATTGTAAAAAGTTTTTATCCTAAATAGGACTAAAACATGGTTAAAACTCCAAAGTAGGACTACAAGTTTTATATTTCACAAATAGGACTCCAGATTACCTTATTACCCTTCTTCTAAAAATAATCGATCGACTCCCCATCAACTGCCAGACTTCTCCCCTGCCACTTTCCCTTTGGCCAATCGCACCTTCGATCTTCTTCCTCCTCTTCTTCTTTTTCTTCTTCTAATTCTTCTAATCTTCATCTTCTTCTTGTAGCCTTGTTCCTGATTCTCTGCTTTCTTTTTAAAAAAAATTATCAATCAAATTTGAAAAAATATTGCATGAATGTGAAAGTTTCCAATGAAGATATACTTAACTAGAATTTCTTCTTATCAGTTTTGATATATTTCAATCTCAAAATGCCCTGAGTAATGATTCTGAAGAATGTGTCACTTTTTAATCAAGAGTGTCATATTTAATGGTTATTTTTTAAAAAATGACACTTTTATGTCATTCAAGTCTGTGCAGCCTCCGATGAGAATGCCACTTGATATGAATAAATGACAAGATAATGACATTATCTTATGAACATATGTCATTTTCATATTGTCATCCTGATAAATGTACTGCTACAAACATGACAGTTTTTTCAAATACTAATAATACTTTTTTTGACATTCTCAGATTATAAAAGTGACATTTTATTTATGAAGTAAAATTCAAATCCAAAAAATCCAAATTAGTAAATAAAATTCAAATCCAAAGAAAAAAAGAAGAAGAGAATAGGGGACCAGAAAATTGAAGAGGATTAGAAGATGAAGAAGAAGAAGAAGAAGAAGAAGAAGAAGCAAAAAATAAGAAGACCAGAAATTTGAAGAAGAAGAAGAGGAAGAGGAAGAAGCAGAGGACTTACCTGGTTGCCTATGCGATGGGAGGCCAGAGTCGATGACGAGCTCAGATCCATGAGAGGAAGAGATGTTTGCGATGAATTGCAGAAGATGGCAACGATTGCGCAATGTTACGGCACCGGAGGCTATTTCCGTCCAAATGCAAACATTTACTCCTATTTAGAGAATTTAAAACAATGAGTCCTAGTTTTGCAATTACCTCCTGTTTTACTCCCATTTTGACGATTTTCTCTATTTTAAAATGATTCTGGATAAAATGATAATAGTAAAAGTTGGAGAAAATTGTTACTTCAGCGCACTAAGGTGTATCATGTGGAATAGAGTGTACCTCACATTACACTTGATATCGATAAGTACTTAAAATTGGTTTGTTGGTGTTGACTGAGTACTCATCTGCAACTGTCATTAGGACTTAGGAGTTGCTGATGTGACTAATTATAGTTGCTTGTTTTTAAATCATTGGACTCCATCTTAGCAGTTAGTCAACCCTTTTATATATGTAACCCTAATTTATAGTTGATGTTTGTGTATCTCATCCCCAAGCTTCATCCGATTCTGCAATTCTACTCCATCTTCTCTTCTAAATCAAGAATAGATTATTATTTCTCTTGTTTTTAATGACGAGCCCTTGATTATTGCTGGGTCTTTGTCTTGTGAGATGATTCTGTATTCTGCTTCCTCCTTTAATTGGTAGGTCATTTTACTTTCAGAATTTAGCTTTGAGAGAAACTAACATGGCTCCTGGAAATTGTGCATGTTGAATCCATTTGAAGATGCTGACTTCACATACAGATGACAATCCAGGGAGATGCTTCGTTACCTACTCAACAGTAAAGGTATAACCTTGAAGCTTCCTTTAACATATTCAATTTTGTTTTTGTTAATCGGTCTGACATTATAAACGTAGTTTGAATATATGTAGAGATATGTTGCATTTGAGTTATATGTGCACAATATTTATAATATTTCATTTATGTTGTAATTATTTGTAATAATATTTGATTTTTTTATTAGGCTAATGGAGAATGTAACACGTTTGAATGGATTGATCCAGAAATGTGTCCAAGGTCGAAGGTGGTTATTCCATGTCAGCTGAGGAATATAAATAGACTGCAATTTCTGCTTGAGGAGAAAAATGCAATGCCCAAAAAGAAGAAGATGCAGACTATCTTATGGTGTGTTCTAGGAGGAATAATGTTACTAGCTTGAGTAGCTTCATGGATTGTGTTTTTTGACTTCGGGAAAAAAAATTAGTTGGGTTGGGATTATTATGAGGCTCCAATGTTGTAATTATATACTGTAATGTAGGGTGTTGTCTGATGTTGTAAACGTAGGACGTATCATATGTATGTGTGTTGTTTGGTATGGTGTATTATGATGTTTAACAACAATGAACTTATATTTTGATCATCCACAATGTGTGTTGAATCGGATTAACTAGCCAGATATTATAGTTCAAAATGATAAAATGGATTTGGTCTATCACCTGCAAGTCAGACTTCATGATAAAATGATAAAATCAAGTTGGATAACTTCCAAAAATATGAATGAGATTAACTGTCACCATTAAATTTCATTACAAAATGGTAGTCTGGAATTGATTAACTCGCTACAACTTATACTTCAAATACAATAATGAACACACATCCAACTTGTAAATCTCATAAACAAAATGACAAATGAGTGGAAGCAGTGTAGTGGCTGCACTTTATACTTCAAATGAAATGGATACACATCCAAACAGTGAAACATATACTCAGAAAGGGCCACATGAACGCCAACCACAATTAACCATAATAACTTGGAAAAAGGTTATCAGAAAAACTTAACAAAAACAGTCTTGTACTGATAAGGTCACAACAAATCCTTAACAAAAAACCCGTACATCATAATCATAAATCGTTAATAAACACAACTGATAGAGTATATGGACTCAGACTCCATGACCCACATATTCCAGAAATTAAACACAGGCTACTGACACCCGTGTGCCACTTCGTCAGCCAGAGGGCCCTCCATCGGCCAAACTCAAATAGATCTCAGAATACAGCTTAGAGGCCCAAGAACAAGAATGGGTCCTCCGTCGACCAGGCCCTCCGTCGGACAAAAAGACTCAGGCAGGACAAATTTTATACTTAG